CCTACAAACAGTAAATAATGTATAATACACAGTGTGTGCCGTCCTACACACAGTAGGTAATTTGTTACACACAGTGTGTGCCGTCCTATACACAGTAAGTAATGTATTATACATAGTGTGTGCCGTCCTACACATAGTAAGCAATGTGATAAACACAGTCTGCCGTCCTACACACAGTATGTAATGTATTATACACAGCATGTACCCTTCGACACACAGTAAGTAATGTATTATACACAGCGTGTGTCGTCCTACACGCAGTATGTAATGTATCATACACGGTGTGTTCCCTTCGACACACAGTAAGTAATGTATTATACACAGCGTGTGTCCTCCTACACACAGTATGTAATGTATCATACACAGTGTGTTCCCTTCGACACACAGTAAATAATGTATTATACACAGCGTGTGTCCTCCTACACACAGTATGTAATGTATTATACACAGTGTGTTCCCTTCTACACACAATAAGTAATTATACATAATGTCTTACCTACTGCACGCATGTAATTTGTTATACACAGTGTCTGCCGTCCTACACACAATATGTAATGTATTATACACAGTTTGTGCCGTCCTACACACAGTATGTAATGCATTATACACAGTGTGTGCCCACCTACACACAATATTTAATGGTTTACACACAGCGCGTGCGATCCTGATACAGTATATAATGTATTATACACAGTGTGTCCTAGTAAAAGGAGTATGTAGCTTCTTATACACCGTGTTTGCCCGCGTACAGACATTACACAATATATTATACACAGTGTTTGCCCTCGTACACACATTATACAATGTATTATACACAGCGTTTGCCCTCTTACACACAGTATGCAGTGTATTATACACAGTGTTTGCCCTCGTACACACAGTATGCAGTGTATTATACACAGTGTTTGCCCTCGTACACACAGTATGCAATGTATTATACACAGCGTTTACCCTCGTACACACCCTATACAATGTATTATACACAGTGTTTGCCCTCATACACACATTATACAATGTACTATACACAGTGTTTGCCCTTGTACACACAGTATGCAATGTATTATACACAGCGTTTGTCCTCGTACACACCCTATGCAATGTATTATACACAGTGTTTGCCCTGGCACACACATCATACAATGTATTATACACAGTGTTTGCCCTCGTACACACAGTATGTAATGTGTTATTCACAGTTTGTACCTTCCTTCACACAGTATGCAATGTATTATACACAGTGTTGCCCCTGTACACACAGTATGCAATGTATTACACAGAGTTTTTACCCCTGTACACACAGTATGTAATGTATTATGCACAGGGTGTTCCCTCCTATACACAGTATGCAATGTGTTATGCACAGCGTGTACCCCTCCTATACACAGTATGTAATGTATTATACACAACGTGTCTCTTCCTATACACAGTATGCAATGTGTTATGCACAGCGTGTACCCTCCTACACACAGTAGGTAATGTATTATACACAGCGTGTGTCGTCCTATACACAGTATGCAATGTGTTATGCACAGTGTGTGTCCTCGTACACACAGTATGTAATGTATCATACACAGTGTGTTCCCTTCTACACACAATATGTATATAATGTCTGACCTACTGCACGCAGTATGTAATGTGTTATACACAGTGCGTGCCTTCCTACACGGAGTTTGTAATGCATTATACACAACGTATGCCCTCCTACACACAGTATCTAATGCTCTACACACAGTGTGTGCCCTCCTACACACAGTATGTAATGCTCTATACACAGTGTGTGCCCTCCTACACACAATATGTAATGCTCTATACACAGTGTCTGCCCTCCTACACACAGTATGTAATGCTCTATACACAGTGTGTGCCCTCCTACACACAATATATAATGTCTCTATACACTAATATGTGTGCCCTGTGTGCCCTCCTACACACAATATGTAATGCTCTATACACAGTGTCTGCCCTCCTACACCTAATATGTAATGCCCTATACACAGTGTGTGCCCTCCTACACACAATATGCAATGCTCTATACACAGTGTCTGCCCTCCTACACACAGTATGCAATGTTCTGTACACAGTGTGTGCCCTCCTACACACAGTATGCAATGTTCTATACACGGTGTGTGCCCTCCTACACACAGTATGCAATTCTCTATACACAGTGTGTGCCCTCCTACAACAATGTGTAATGCTCTATACACAGTGTGTGCCCTCCTACACACAATATTTAATGCTCTATACACAGTGTGTGCCATCCTACACAAAGTAGGTGATGTATTATACCCTCCTACACCTAAAATATAATGCTCTATACACAGTGTGTGCCCTCCTACACACAATATGTAATGCTCTATACACAGTGTCTGCCCTCCTACACCTAACATGCAATGCTCTATACACAGTGTGTGCCGTCCTACACACAGTAGGTGATGTATTATACCCTCCTACACCTAAAATATAATGCTCTATACACATTGTGTGCCCTCCTACACACAATATGTAATGCTCTATACACAGTGTCTGCCCTCCTACACCTAATATGCAATGCTCTATACACATTGTGTGCCCTCCTACACACAATATGTAATGCTCTATACACAGTGTCTGCCCCCCTACACACAATATGTAATACTCTATACACATGTACAGTGTCTGCCCTCCTACACACAATATGTAATGCTCTATACACATTGTGTGCCCTCCTACACACAATATGTAATGCTCTATACACAGTGTCTGCCCTCCTACACACAATATGTAATACTCTATACACATGTACAGTGTCTGCCCTCCTACACCTAATATGCAATGCTCTATACACAGTGTGTGCCCTCCTACACACAGTATGCAATGCTCTATACACAGCGTGTGCCCTCCTACACACAGTATGTAATGCTCTATACACGGTGTATGCCCTCCTTCACACATTATATAATTCTTTACACTGGGGTGACTATTGGGGTGGGGTGGGTGGGGTAGGTTTGAGGAACATGTATAATACATTACATACTGTGTGCAACATACTATTGCGAAGGCGATAGTCTATTGCGACTGACTATTGCAATACTATTGCAATAGTTTTTTCCCTTTGAATTGTCTCATTTGAAGTCATTTCCCAAATGAATGTATAGTTTATATGAAATAAAAACAAGCTGAAGTAGTTTCAGTCTCTTTTGATAATTGGAACGAAACTTGAAAGCCAGATCTTGTAAAAAGTTAAAGCGTAAACCTATTGTTATTCACAATTTCAAACTCGCAAATTTCGAGTAGTATGCCCTGTTTGTCGTCATATTTGTTTAAGAGGTAACAGTGACGGATAACTCTAAATCAAAGTGAACGCATCTGGTACTTCCTGTATTTAGCGCTGCGCAATTATCAACGGAAGGCAATTACTAAACTATCGATAGTCACACATGCATCGGTAGTTTTTCGTTTCTACCATCGATTAATTGCTATCGACTCAACAATTGTAATCCATCGATAGTTCGATGCATTGTTACAGCCCTATATAATACATTATGTGCTGTGTGTAGGACGACACGCTGTGTATAAAACATTATATACTGTGTGTAAGTGTACACCAATTGTGTATAATGCACAACTGTCTACTACTGGAATAAAGTAACTGTGCATTATTTGATGTTATAATCTGTATGATTTGACCGTGGCATCGTGACACGCCCTTGAAGAGATGTGGTGTCAAATGTCAGTTCACAAATTCAGTATCGTGCGTGTCCACCATTGGCGTTGATGCAGGCGTGGCAACGACGACGCATAGACGACACTAACCGATTGAAGAAAGCTTGGGGAGTGTTGTTCCATGTCTAAAACCAACGCTTGTCCCAATTCAGCTAACGTTCAGTAAACGTAGCTCCATTTCACCCCATGTGTGCTGGATAGGGGACAGGTCCGGAGAAACAGCTGGAGTAACCGAATGTTCTGCTGTCTCAGGAAATCTGTCACAACATGAGCGACATATGGGCGGGCATTAACTTGCTGAAGTTACGTCTCTGTCCTTGAATTAATGGAAGCACATGAGACCGAATCATCTCATACCTGTATCGCAGACCTGTCAGATTGCCATTGACAATGGCAAGGTGTGTCCGACCATGAAATGTGATGTTTCCCCATACCATAACGCTGCCTCCACCAAGCCGTCGACGTTAAACAACGCACGCGTCAGCATACCGTTCACTTCGCCGTCTGTACACCCTTGCCCTGTCATCTGAGCTACCCAGATGAAATGTCTCGTCAGTGAACAAAACACCATCCCATTCTGGTCTCCTGTACTGTAGATGTTGTCTGCACCAGGCATGACGTGCCGTCGGTGACGTTGGAGCAAAACTGAACGTATTGCAGGCCTTCGGGGCCGAAGGTTGTGCTTGCTCTCTTCGGGGCCTGATGTTGTGCTTCCGTACAGTCCTGGAACTGACTGGACGTAAGCCAGGAATGGTCCGAGCAGCCAAACTGGCAATCTGGAATCGATTCCTTAGATGGGTGAGCCGAATATGGTTGTTACGTCACGCGTGGAAGGCCGGTCCGAGGCAAATCTTTCGTGTTCCAATTTTGTTAAAAACGTCTCCACAGAGATGAGATCGTGTTTCGGTAGACACCAAAATGTCTGGCCAATTCATGTTGGGCCATTCCAGTCTCATGCATACCTACGGCACGGAGACTCTGATATTCTGTCCGCCGTGGCATGCCGTACCCGCAGTTTAGGTTGAAAGTTCATTGTTCACAAAAGTGCACGTGCCACGCGCGATTCTTTACATCAAATATCATACGCACAAAATGTCCAAAATAGTACAGGTGTTCAGTCATAAATATTACATAGATAAATAAAAACAGAATGCCTGTTTCTCCAACATGTTTCGTTCTTTACTCTTCAGGGAGATTGTTATCCATACATACATATATACACACTTAAATGTGTGTGTGTGTGTGTGTGTGTGTGTATATGTATATGTATATATATGTATGTGCATAATTATATATAGGTATATTTTCAGTCACAAGGAAGAGCCGTGTAGCAAGTACTGTGTTTTCTCGAGCCCATCATTTGTTAAGAAGACACGGAGACATGGACCTAGGTTTGTACAAGCTATCTGGTATAACTTCATCATTCTGGTATAACTTTAACATTAAACAGCTATTTGTGATGCTAACAAATAACGTTGACGCCGAAACTAAAGGAAATGATCTCAATGTTTTAGAGTGAAAAAGGAATTCATATGCAAATACTGTGGCCGACACTTCAGCAAGTCGTACAACCTCCTGATACACGAACGTACTCACACTGACGAGCGGCCATACTCATGTGATGTCTGCGGCAAGGCATTTAGGAGGCAGGATCATCTCCGAGATCACAAGTAAGGTATCTTTCACTGTAGACGGGTGGAATAAAATAGTCTTGAACACTGTTGGTTTATGGCTTATGATGGCGAAGATAGACCGCTTCTCATATATTTCTTTTTGTGAAATGATCAGGTGTTTCATCCCACCAGCCTACTCATTAAGCAAAAGCGCCATGTCATCAATCCTGTCATCACCGGTGTGTGTCCCTGCGTCCCCTGTCTGCCATATTCATCCTTATGTTGTTCGCTTCTTTCATATGTGTACATTGCTGTTATCACTTCACAAACGATATTTAAATCTGTACCATGCTCCGATTGTTCAATTATCATAGACAACGGTATAAGAATCTATATCTCTTAATCAGAAGTCCACTTTGAAGGTCATGGTCAACTGCAATAAGAATACCTGTACACATGAAAGACAATGACCAAAATAACTATATGCGCTAATTAGAGAATATGAAGGCGACGTTAGGAAGGACCATCAGACAGTGGACAATTTCTTTACATTACGTATAAACTGTCTGCAAACTATTCAAGACTGTTCTATAATGTACAGTATGGATATCAGCTACGAAAAATGTTAACGCTGGACGGACTACTATGTAAGTTTGTGAAATGGAGATAAATGATAAACCAATTGCAGTTGTCAATGCATAACTCACGACTCAAAAGTGTGGTCAAACAAGCCATAAAGCAAGTTTTCTTGTAAAATCTCATGTAATTGTTATGAAGAAATACGATCGCATATTCAGATGTTAGAAATTGTTACTATTTTGACATATGCTTCATAAGTCAACGGATTTACTATTAATGAAAATGATCCAATAGAATATAGAACCCCCAAATACGCTATATGATGGAACTGGTACATGGTTTCTGTTTACTATATACAAACATATATAATACAAACATGTTAGCTACTGCCTTCGCCTCTCGACATGTCCCATCAGAGACAGACATTTCAATACTATTAAATGTTAGTGAGCAGAACCTGTAGGGAAAGCCTACATAGGACTACTCATATAAGAAATATATTATTCCATTATGTTTGATTAAATATTGGGAATGATGTGGTGATTACACAGGGATGAAGCATTGTTCGGTTACTGTATTTGGCATGGCACAAAATGATTGAAGAGAAAGCTTAAACACAAACAGGTTTGAGGTTTGTGGAATAAAAATGTATATGACTTCAACTAAAATTCAGCAACTTGGTATTTATTCGGCAGAAACAGGTCTGCCATTAACTGGGCAGCCTGACCGAATTCCCTCTGGTGATAATGCCCAGGTTTTATAATTATGTCACAGTTGTTATAGCTGAAATAGACAGAATTTCCCATAATGGTAAACTGAATGACGGTTATCGGTTTTCATGCCATGTACCCAGGTATCAGTGTGAAGAAGACCGATACTGACAAAGACACACACAGAGGGAATGAGTACTATGATTTGAGTACTATGGGATGTTTTGACAACTGGCAGAATGTGACAAAGATTAGAAGACACCGTAAACTTTTTCAAGTGGTCACTAAATGGTGTATGTCTATCAAAGGACTTCTTTGAAACTAATGCAAAACATAGTTGAATCATCAGTTGCAATTTATTGTTGTTCAGTTTGAAGATCATGATCATTGGCTCACGAAATAGGTATTGTCAGTATAATATGGAAACCTGGTCCTTGTGACACCGAAGTTTGCAACAGTATTGTTCTCGCATGTGATTGGATGTGACATTGAAGTTTAGGTCATTCAGGCTAATGAAGTTGTATTTGCCCAATATGAAGTTGCACAATGACAGATTAACAATGAGGTGAGGTGAGGTGAAAGTAGGTTTAACGTCGTGCTTGAGAATATTTCGCTCATATGACGACGCGTATGCGTGTGTATGTGTATGTGCGCCTGCTTGTACTAGCCCAGACCGAAGCTGGTTTTATAGTGCTAGCCAATTGAGATACCATGCCGCAGTGAAGCATGAATACCCTACTCAGACACATTATACTGACTCCGAGCCGACCAGACCTTGTTGTACCCGTTAATGCCGAGCGCCAGGCAGGGACCAACAAGTACCATATTTTAACGTTTCTTGGTATGACGCGGTCGGGCATCGAACCTGCGACCTTCCGCTCTCCGGGCGGACGCTCTAACCATTACTCCATTATGAATGATATGGTATACTTGAACTGGGAGATTGGCAATGTTCATGTTAACTTAGAAATAGAGTAAACAATATGAAATGTTACGCGAAAGAAAACTTTTATTCTAATGTTAATGGCCTACTTTTGGAATTATATGCTGAAAATAAATCTTTATATTGGAAATTATTACGTTATATTGTTAAAATGTCGTGCTCTACTTCGCATATTCCTCCTCTCAAGCAGAATATTGATGATGAATTTCCGACGCTGTTTTCTATGGAATCTTGGAAGGGACAGTGTCGCATTGTCGCGTTGTCGCCCTCTCAAATACAAGTAAAATGAGGCAAAAGCGCGACAGTGCGACAATGCGACAACGCGATATTTCGCCCATTTGTCGCATTGTCGCGATGTCGCATGTCGCGTTTTGAATAATATTTTTCTATTCCTCAAAAGGGCGACACGCGACATAGCGACAATTTTCAAGGTCAGATTATGTCGCGTTGTCGCCCTATCTAAGATGTGTAAAAAAAGCCTAAAAATTGACTAAAACGCGACACGCGACAGTACAACAACATTTTGATGAAATGTCGCGTTGTCGCATTGTCGCCCTTTTCTATTACCGGTGTGTAGAAAGTCAATTAGTCTACGCATGCGCAGAAAATGTTATACTCTATTTCAGACTTCAAGTGGTCTTTTGTTACCTCCAATGGTTTTTAAAATGAAGTAGTACTGGTAATGGTAATGGGGGCTGCTTTTCTTGAAATTAATACACATCTTTCATTGTTGCTTTGTTATTTTATACATTGTAAATGTATTTAGCCAATCAAGTGTATTTTAGCAGCAAGACAAATTATTAGCGCTACTATTCATTGTAATGACGGCACACGGTGGCCCTGTCATTCAAGGCGGGGCAATTTGCTGTGCAGAGTTGTGTCTCTTAGTCACACCAGAAAACTATGATCATAGGTTCGAATCCCAGCACCATACACATTCATCACTTTTGACATTTCGCCGATTTCAAGCTGGCAGTTCGTGTAAAAACTAAATATTGTTAAAATTCAGGCCACATCGGCATAAACATTAGGTGATGTCCTCGAATGGTTGACTATGTTCGACAGTGTGCCTCCTGAAAGAGTTTCTTGGTACAGTCCTGTCCGACGCTGATGAATTTGTCCGAGATCTGCCTCTGTTCAACCAGAAGTGGATGGATACCATGTAGAATGAGATAGTAATATCACTTAACCATCCAGCACCTCAAAGACAGTTTAGGTCGGCTTTGAACGTGATATTCTTCTTGGGAAAACGCCATACAAATGGACTGTTATCATTATGATACCCGGGTATTAGAAACGATGAAATCGCTTGGCAGAGTTGCGTACCCTTGGATTGCCAGAAACCAACCCTCCCTCCCTCCGCTTCGCACCGCTCCTCTCCTCTCCTCTCCGCCCCCCTCCTCTTACTCACTCACTGAAGGTTTAGGTAGCTTGGTAAATTACAAGAAATTTCATTACAATAATGTGTTGTGATGTCTGTTTTTCAATTCTATTTGAAACCTATATTATTAATCCTGCACATGCCTTGATTCACAATACTCCAAAAGAAACGATACAAAATTAAAAATATAAATATTCTGAATAAAAATGTCGTTTTTTTATTATACATGACATTGAAACAATCGCCTCAATTCAACAGTCAAGAATCATGAAAATAGTGGTGTTTGGGCGCAACGTTTAAGTGCTAACTGTCTTAAAGCACGAAAATTGCTCCCGCGTGCAGCGTGAATCACGTGGCGTAGTTTTAACGCATCAACATCGACGTCGACGTCTGCAGTGGCACGCACAGTTCGACAATGGCAGAACAGGCATTGGCAAACGGCCATGTTTTCTGACGAGAGCAAGTTCGTCATATTCTATAATGATGGCAGGGCTCGAGTCTATCGAAGACGAGGCGAACGTTACCAACGTAACTGCGTCCAGGAGGTGGTTCCATTTGGCAGAGGCGGTGTCATGGTTTGGGGTGGGATCTGTGGTGATGTGAAGATACATCTGATTGTGGTGAATGGTAATTTGAACGTTCAAGGGTACATCGACCAGATACTGCGCCCAGTTGTCATGCCTTTCTTGCAACAACACCAAAACCGCATCATATTTAAACAGGACAACGCCCCTCCACATACAGCTCGTATTACCACAGATTTTCTCCAAAGAAATAACGTCAACGTGTTGCCTAGGCCTGCTCGGTCACCTGACATGTCACCCATTGAGCATATCTGGAACCTTTTGGGTCGACAAGTGCGTGCAAGACCTATGCTTCCAGGAAACAGCAGCTTGCTGAGGCTCTCGAGGAGGAGCGGAGGAGGATACCCGTGCATGTTATCCGGGTTTTGGTCTACTCAGTACGACGTCGAGTTGCCGCATGTATTGATGCACGAGGTGGACATACCAGATACTGATCGCTCTGATACACAGTATGTGTATATACATTGTGACCTGATCGAATACTGGACAAATGACACTCTCTTGTTATCCCACCGGCATGTAATGCGGTGGGATAAAGTCGTCGTCGCCTCGTCCGTCCGTCCGTCCGTCCGTCCGTAATCATTTTGTTTCCGGACCATAACTCAAAGACCGTTCGATATTTTTTAAACAAAATTGGTAGATATGTCAAACATAACCTAAGGTGGTGCCTTTTGCTATTTACAGATAATTGTCATTTTTATTTTTCTCGGTTTCCATGGAAACGTTTTGGACTTAGTCTTAAAGAAGGGTGGGCTTCGTTTCCGGAGCATAACTCAAGAACCATTCAATATTTTTCAACAAAACTTAGTAGATATATCAAACAGATCCTAAAGTGGTGCCTTTTGCTATTTACAGATTTT